TAATTTTATCTAGTTTTCAGAACATTTTTCAGAAGTTTCATAACTTTCCTAGATTTTTAGTTATTTAAGAAATACTCTAGTACCGTCCAGATTTGTCGACTGTTACGAAAAACGGATTCTCTCTCAAATCGCTCACTCTTTTTTTGATAAAATCCTTTTTCCATGAAAGCTAACACTTAAAGGAAGGTTTTGACATAAAAATGAATTTAAGGATATTTTTCTGCATTTTTTTGGAATTTTTGCAAGTTGACTGAAAAACCGGTTTTTTGAGCAAAAAGCTTGAAATAAGGGAAAAAGTAAGAAAATAGGGTAATCATGGATAATTTTTCACTTCTATTGCGATACATACATGATAGATAATATATATTAAACTCAAAAATTTGAATTGAAGGTGTGCCTTTAGAAATTATGAGAGATCGGTGTAGAAAAAGATAATTTTGTACCGATTAAGAGAAAACACAAGAGTGGAACAAGACTCCATTCTTTTCATTTTTAACACAAGTACACCATTAAAGCTCATTTGGAATAATATTTAGAACCTCTAAGAACATGTATTTAAAAAAGGAAAGGAAAATAAAAGAGAGGGTTGTGTTGTGGCTTACTTGAAACTTTGTGAAGAGTTGCACAAAATTTTCTCTCCATTTTTCTTTTTCTTTCTCCTCTTCAAAACAACAAAATGAGGGGATATTTATAGAATTCTAAACGACCTAAAACACATGGCTAGCCATGTTGTATCTTATTTGAGGGAATTTTTCAATTAGTTTAGTGTATGAATTCATATATCTATGTATGAAGATATTTTGTGTACAAAATCTATGTTTAAGAAAAGGTGCAAGTATGTATATATACAATGGTATTAACTTGAGGTCAATTTGTGATTCAAGTCAAATGTGGGGACTAAGACCTTAATTTATAAATTAAAACATTTAATTAAGTGTAATATTTAATTAAATTAGGATTTCTATTTCAAGTGTAGAATTAATTAAATTAGTGATAGGAAAAATAATTCGGTTTGGGTTTCTCATTTTTTAATTAAAAGATGATCAATCGAACTAACCTTACGAAAATTGAAAATCTAGGGCTTTGAGTGATTATTCTATAATTAGGGGGTTAATTAATTATTATTAGAGTATTAGAAATTATTCCTAAGTTATTGAGATCAATTAGGATTCGCATAGTTTCAATCGGGACGTATTCTTGATTCTAGGGTTAAAATTGAATTTAAATAAGAAATTGAGGGTCTTTATATAAATAATTCAAAAGTAAGGGTCTAAAAGAAATTACAAAAATTCGGGGCCTCACAATGGATAAGTGGAAAAAAGATTAGATTTGATTTAATTTCTTTCTACTTTCTTAATCTTCTTGTGGATAAGTGGATCTTATTTTTTTTCTCTGAATATCAAATGAATCATCACTCTATTGTTGGTAATATATGAGTGAATCATTATTTTGTGAAATGGTTTCATACTGTGGATGGATATGAGATTCTTTTCTTGAATGCTGTGAAAAATGAGCCACACTCTTTTCTTGTGTTTGTACACCTAAATGAATAGATAACAAAATATGTTTAAAATTTGAACAGATAAAAAAATTAAATAGATAAAAAAAACTAAACAGATAAAAAATTGAATAGATAGTTTTAAACATATAAGTGAAAAAATCGAATAGATAATAAAATTTGAACATATATTTGAACAGATAAGGGTAAAAATTTAAACAGATAGGAAAATTTTTGAACAAATAAGAAAAAATTTCAACAGATAGGGAAATTTTTTGAACAGATAGTCAATGAAAATCAACAGATAAAAAAATCAACAGATAAATTAAGGGGTAAAATTAGAAACAAAGGGCTCGTTTGGTTTGATTTTCTGAAAAAAATTTGGGAAATTTTCTCTACAAATAAGTTTTCAAAAATAACCAAACCAAACAAATTTTCCCAAAAAAATCCATTAAATCTAATGCCTTAATCTAGGGTTCATATTCTATCTCATTATTTTTATTTTATTTGAAGTAAATACACAACATGTGACTACCAATTATGAAATTGTTTATAAACAAAAAAAAATCTTATTTAAAGGCACAATTAAAAAAATTCATAATCTAAAGACCCTAAATAGTAAGGCCTATAAATAAAATAAACTCATATAATTTTAATTATAAGAAGGAAAGAGAAAAATAAATTTTGCAAAAAACAATTTACAATATAAAAAGTGTTAGTATTTAAATATAAGAAAGGCTCTTAATTACAATTTGACTTTAAGCTTCATTGATGATGGTAGTAGTCCCAGCACTAGCTTTGTACATATTTGAATTATTTACCTTAACCTCAATTTGTTTATCTTTTTATAACAACTTCAACTGAATTTTAATTGAATCCTTAATTAGCCTAATATAAATGGTTTAATTTTTTAATACTTCTTCTGTTTCAAAATAATAATTATACTTTTTGTGTTGTTAATGAATTTAAAAGAAAGGCAAAATATAAAATTCATATTATTTTAGTCTTTAATTTTTGAAAATAGACTAATATTTTGGAATAATGAAAAATGGACTAATATTTTGAGACGGAGATGGTACACACCCCTTAAGATCTCATTAGTCATAATTAAAATAATGTCATAAACAAAGAAGAAAAATGATTATAACTGTTAATATTATATAATAACCTATCCTATTATAATATGTTATTCATATGTTAGTGTATAATATTATATAATAGGTTATTATAATATGTTAGCATTATAATAGATTAGCGATTGCTTGCTTTCATCATTAGTGTTTCCTTTCTGTAAGCCTTTCGGCCACTTTCGGTAAGCTGCTCCTCAATGGCTCCTCCAAATTATGTAACCTCTCCTCTATATAAAGGAGTTAACAACACAAATACAGAATATATAATAAAAGAGATACACAATTTCTCTCTACAATTTGTTCTCTTTTTATCAATTTATCTTCTATCACTTTTTCTTTTCTTTTCTTTTCACCTTATTTTCCGCCTTTAGCACACTTATCTCTGCTCGCGCATCCTTATACATGCGTTGGAGCAGAGCCAGTTGGGCGTTTAACTGCTGCACTTCATTTGTCCTACTCTGAAGCCGGTGCGACAAGTTTGTGACCGCAGTCATGGTCTCCACGCATGACTTCAAAGTATACTGATTGGCCTCAATATCCGTTTGCACCGCCATTTTTTGCTCCACCGACCGCATCGGAAAGTTCAACGGAGCAAAACCAGAGGTGTTTGGTTGAGGTTCACTGGCCACCGCACCAGTTATTTCTCTTGTGGACTCGTTCAGTTCTGGAAAGAGCGTGAGCAGACCACGGGAAGAGGAGGCCATGTTTTGGGTAGCTGGACGGGAAGAAGAGGAGGCCATGTTATGGGTTGTTGAGTGTTTCAGAGAAGGGTTGGTTACAGAAGAGAAGGGTTGGTTACAGAATGTTTACAGAGTGTTTCAGAATGCCAATGTTCAGAGGTTTCAGACTGGTTTGCACAGCCTCCGCCTCAGTCTTGGTTAAATAGCCAAGGCAGCCACGCGTATCGTGCGCCGCTCGGCGCTAGACGACAACATGGGCGCGCATGCCAATCACGCGCATCGCCATAATGTCCGGCACACCTTTTTATGAATTGGGCACGCCTTTTGATGACACGCCTTTTGATAGATTGGGCGCGCCTTTTGAGGGCGCAATATATCTATCTACATGTATATCTTTTGGGCAGCCTATCTACACACTCATACAGTGTCTTCTACAACAGTCAGCTTTATCACTCCCTTTGTTTCAACCTCAAATAGGTTTCTATCTTCACACCTATTTGAGTTTGAGGGGGGGTTATACATATATCATGTATCATGGTGAGCATGGTTGCACACCATGGGAACCACCCAAGCCACCCCATGGCGCACTCCTTAAGTCGCCACCTTGGTGCACCACCAAATTCTTCTACATCGGTCCGGCATGACCCCGTAAACTGTCCCGACATTGATTCCGGTTAGCTCCTTCAGGGGTCCGACAAGACTCTGTAAACTGTCCCGACATTGATTCCGGTTAGCTCCTTCATCGGTCCGACATGACCCCGGCATGACCCCATAAACTGTCCCGACATTGATTCTGGTTAGCTTCTACATCGGTCCCGCATGACCTCGTAAACTGTCCAGACATTATCTGCTACAACGGTCCGACACGACCATACAGTGTCTTCTCCAACGGTGTGACACGACCATACCGTGTCTTCAACAACGGTTCGACACGACCATACAGTGTCTCCTATCCTATTTTATTTTCCTGTTTTGTTACTCTCTTCAAACTCAAGTTGGTTAGTGTCTATCCTCCTTGAGTTTGAGGGGGGCTGTTAATATTATATAATAACCTATCCTATTATAATATGTTATTCATATGTTAGTGTATAATATTATATAATAGGTTATTATAATATGTTAGCATTATAATAGATTAGCGATTGCTTGCTTTCATCATTAGTGTTTCCTTTCTGTAAGCCTTTCGGCCACTTTCGGTAAGCTGCTCCTCAATGGCTCCTCTAAATTATGTAACCTCTCCTCTATATAAAGGAGTTAACAACACATATACAGAATATATAATAAAAGAGATACACAATTTCTCTCTACAATTTATTCTCTTTTTATCAATTTATCTTCTATCAATTTATCTTACAATAACTAAAAAAAAAATAATAATTAAGGTGTATATGTTACACCCCTTTCAAGATGTGTATATAGTAGAATTTTCTAATATTTATAAAATTGAATAATAAATTATTTAAATTTAATTGAAAATCTTAACTGATTTTAATTACTCCACTATTTAAAATTAACTTACTTACATGAGTATTTTGTAAGATTTTATTTTATTTATTTAAAAAAAAAAAAACACACACACACGCGCACACACACACACAAAAACTATTTAAACATGCACATGCACATGCACATGCACATGCAGCTAATCCCATTCAATGTACTCCCGAAAATAATCCAAAATAAAACGTCCCAACAAACAAGCCTCCCGGTCTATCTCTATCTGTTGCATTCTCATTCTCACACATTACAACGCATCCGATTACGTTTCCAACCCCACATCTCTCTCCAATCTTTGTTCATTCTTTCCATACATACTTTTCAATTCTTCTAGAATCTATCAATCAATTGTATCAATATTTAACTACACATCATATTGTTTATCTGTAATTTTGGTTTCTGTTCCAGATCCAACCATGGATTTCATGAAAGTTATCGATCAAACAGTCCGCGAAATGTGAGTTTCATTTCATCCCCTTCTCTTCCATGTCATCAATGCTTGCTCTTCATTTCGTTATCACTATACATTTATGTATATGTACATATGTTGGGGTTGCAGAAAGAGGGAGGTGAATTTGAAAGTCTTGAAAATTCCTGAGATCGAACAAAAGGTAAAACTTCCATTATAATCTTAATTTTTGAATCGTTATATGCTTCCCATTTCAGAAATATTTATGAATATATATATATATATATATATGTATATGCATATAGGTAGATTGTGTAACATTCAAATTGAATTTGTACAAGTTTTTTGCATTTTTTATGATCATGTGAAGCAGATGGATAGTTATTAGGTTAGATTTAATCACCCAGCATATATTGCTAGTAGATTTTTCTCCTGTGAGACTTTTCATTTAATTCTAAAGCTGCTTATTGATCATTCTAAAGCATATATAGGGTATACAAAATCATGACAAATCTTTTGTATATTATATATACTAGAAGTGGTGGACACACGTGTGCGTATCATTATTTATTTTCAAAGAAGTGAGATTGTAAAATGTAGGATTGAATTCAAAATTCAAAATTTGAAACATTTTATGAATCTTAAAAGACCAACAATCAAGAGATTTAAAAAATAAAATAAAATAAATTTATAATTGCCCATGTAACTGGCCAGGGGAAAAAAATATAAAACTGAATGTAGGCCATAAACAACAATTATTGAGGGTATTTTGGGAAATCTAAAATATGAGACATAAACATCAACTCTGGCCTTTACTTTATAATAATATATATAGATAGATAGATATAGATTTCTTAAGAAAACTCATTTGTGATACCGCTGTTTTTATGAATGATTTAACATTAATACAGGTCTTGGATGCAACAGATGATGAACCTTGGGGTCCTCATGGTACTGCATTGGCAGAGATAGCACAGGCCACAAAAAAATTGTACTTTCAAAATTTTGTATTTATTTCATTATTGAAAACTCGTATTCCTTTGCCACTGTCATTTTGTTGAAAGAAAAATAATTTAATTTTCCTTCACATGGTTGACCTTTTGAGATATCTTCCAGCTCTGAATGTCAGATGGTGATGAATGTTCTCTGGACAAGATTAAGTGAAACTGGAAAGAATTGGCGCTATGTCTACAAGGTAGTACTTTAATTATTTTTCACATAATTTATCCTTAACAGTGTGATAATCCAAAAATAACTTTCTTCGCCTGTATAGCTTTTTGGCTTTTTATTCCTGAAAGATTGTGAAATCATTTATGTACCAGGCATTGACTGTTGTAGAGTATTTGGTGGCCAATGGATCTGAACGTGCGGTTGATGAAATAATAGAACACACTTATCAAATCTCGGTATGTGTTATTTTATATTTTGCTTTATCTTCCAATCCAATTTATCATACTGATTGAAGGCGGTTTGAATTTTCTGTTACATTCTCTTTGGCAATACTTTTCTTCCACCAATTATTGAAGTCTCTAGTGAGCTTTGAGTATCTTGAGCCAAGTAGGAAGGATATGGGGATCAATGTGAGGAAGAAGGCTGAAAAAATTGTCTCTCTTTTGAATGATAAAGATAAAATACAAGAAGTTAGAAATAAAGCTGCTGCAAACCGGGATAAGTAAGTACATGCATCATGAACTCACACTGTATGCATTTACTTCAGCTTCTCTGAATTTTGTTGTGGGTTTGTTCTTGTGCCACTGTTGCTAGGTTCTTTGGACTTTCATCCTCTGGAATAACATACAAGTCAGGTTCATCCTCATTTAGTGGCAGCAACTTTCAGAGTAGTGATCGGTATGGAGGTTTTAGTAGTAAAAGAGAGAGCGATGAATATAAAGGAAATTATAAGGACAAGGATCGATTTGGTGAAAAAAAGTTTGACCAGAGTACTTCTACCAAGCCAAATCGAGGGGTTACCAATGAGAATCAAGGAAGCACCCCAAAGAAGGGGTCTACACGCCATGGCAGGTTTGTGTGTTCAATGAAGTTGCTTGTTTTAGTTTGCAAAGAGATCGTATTTTGTGTGTGATACTACCACACTTGTTGAGTAGACAAGGCAGTAGTAGCAGATTGAATGTTAAAACTCCAACCTATTGAATGGTCAGGCATTTGACTTTACAATCGTTGTCCCTAATAAGAAGGCAATACCCAGTATTTCTCACAAATATCAGGAAAAAATTTGTTGTATAAGTATAAAATAGACCCGTGTTATCTTTAAGTTGGGGAAAAATTAGGTAAGTCATCTAGTGGCTGCAAGCTTTACATGGTTGTACCTCGTACTGCTTCTTATGTGTTTGTTTATGGAAGAGATTCATCTTGTTGGTGCTTTTGTTTGGAGTCTAGATTCTGTCATAATCTAATCATTCCATGACTACGAAAGAGGAAGCAATGCTGTATTTTTGTTATTTTTATGTTATTGGGATAAGTGGATTGATGTTCATCAATGTGGAAGAATTGTAAAATTTATAGGAAGTTGCTTTAATATTTGTTCCATTTGTCCATTCTGTCTGCACCGTGATTACAAAAGTCTCTACTTGATGCAGATTTAAATCTGTGATTGACAAACATAGGATTGGTCTTCTACTTTGATGTTATCCAATCATACTAGGCTAATCTATGGTGTTGAAATTTAGTAGGTCTATTGATGGTCAATTATCATTGACAGAGACAGAAGCAGATATGCCTTCCTGAACAGTTTTAGTTATATTGCTAATCTTGAGAATGTTTGTCCTCCAGCAAGAGACAAGATACTTCAGCATCTGGTGGATCAAGGTCAGCAACAGTTATTAATGACTCTGATAAGCATTCTTCAGTTCCCACACAAAGCTCTAGTGCACCTTCAAATAATTATGATGATGACTTTGATGATTTTGATCCGCGAGGAATATCCAGTGCGAGTAAGTGTTCTTAAATAGGACCTTTAAATATATTTCTCCTTATGTGACTCATAATTGGGGAAAGAACAAAAAGCATTGTGTTGCACTTGCACACGTTCTAAATACTTTGTAATATTGTTTGGCGAATGTTGTGCATCCTCTTCAAGCATACGTTATTTCAGAACTTTGTTGGTAAGAATTACTCCTAGATAGACAAAAGCCCTGCATAAATAAAACTCTTATTCTTAGCCTTTATCCAAGCATGTTGTTTCATAACTCTGTTAGTGAGAATTGCTCCTAATAAATTTCCTACATAAATAAAACATTAAATCCTATCCTTGTCAAACTCCTCTGTTTCCCATCAACATGCCTATGAATAAACTGAACAAAACCTCACATGCAAATTTTTTGCCCAGTGAGTTCTTGAATCCATGAACTCTATTTACAATAACCAAACCAAACCAAGCCTTGTAATCCTAATCTATTGGGATCAGCTACATGAATCATTTTCCACCATTTTGCTATATGCTCAATTAAATTAAATAAGTATCTGTATTTTTTATACTAGAATATAGTTTTTAATAAATTTTGATCCTTGTCCCAGAGTTGATCTACCCGCTGCAATAAATCCAAACTGATACTATGATGTTGCAACTCTTAAGAGATGCTGAATACTCCCACAATTCGGTTTGCATCAACTTAATACCTCAATTGTTGTTGCAATTTGGGGATATCTTCTTTATTTATATATATAGTTACTAACATACTTTCAAATTTGAAGGCACAAGTCTCCATGTGTTAAAATTGCTTTCCTGAAGATGTGGTAACTTGGGGCCAATAAGAATCGAATGCCAGTGGTTGAATCCCACTGACTACTACTAGAATATTGAAACTGCATAAACTACAATGTAAAGAACTACTGCTCTGTAGCACACACTCATATATCTTTGCCGTTTGACAGAATCTGCTGCTGGGGACTCTAACCAAGTGGATCTGTTTGGGCAAAGTTTGGCTGGTGACCTCATTAATGCTCCAGCATCTGTTCCCAAAGAAATGTGTACTGTGAATGGCAATTCTTCAGAGGTTGATCTGTTTGCCGATGCAGCTTTTGTATCAGCACCACCCCATGTAGAAGCAGGGGCAACTTCTGAGACTCAGGTCAGGTTGTTTGATTTAAATTCTCAAAATGCAGTTAGATATGTTGATGCAGCTCTTGTATGCTATTTGACTCTGGATTTTTCTCTTTCCTTTACCTAACATTTCACTAGAGATATATTCCTCATAGAATTCTTTTCTAGAAAAATGTTTTACAGGAAAATTTTACTTTTCTAAGATTTTCCAATTGTTTAATGTAACCTGAAAACTTTTGCAGACTATGATCTATTTGTTACATTGTTTAGATGAATTAAGTGGCAATATCCACGACTGGAATCTATAATCCAAATTTCTTCCCTTATTTTTTTAGTTAAAACAAACGGAGGCTGTGTGTAATTGGAAAACAAAGTTTAGGTTTGCTGGTATATGCATAGGCAGCCCGATAAGCTCCTCTTTGGGGCTGAGCAGGCAGGCAAGGCAGAAAGAGGGTGAATTAAGTCCATAGAGGACCTGAAGGCACAAAGCGAGAGCTGATTCACAGATGGCAGTAGTAATAAGGAAGTATTTCAAAATTCTGGAGGAAAGATTGGTTTTTCAGTTTCCTAGATGTTTGTCTCTCTTTTTTTTTTCTCCTTTCTTTTTCCTATTATGAGTAATTTTTTAGATGAACTTTTTCACCTATTTCTAGGTATCTCATTATAATAATTCAGAAAGCTACAATTCACAAGCAAATTCGTAGTTTTGCAAACTTCTGAGTAGGAAGTGTGGAAAATATGCTTGTAACTAGGGCCGGTGAGCCTTTCTTCGTCTGGTCGGGGCTGTAGACACTTTTTTCCTTTTCTTCTTTTTTTGTAAATAAAATTTTAGTTACAAAAAATCCCTCAAAAGGGGATGCAACCCTGTACACTCTAAGCATAATGAAAGCTTCGAGATATGAATAAAACAAAACAAAATTGGCTATATATTTACCGGGACACACAATTCTCCCATATAACACCAAGGGTTAGTTATTTCTGCATTTGCAGCTAAATTAATTTTTGGTGTTAGTAACTAATCACATTTTGACCATTTGTGCAGACCAAGGTTGATCTGTTTGCCTCTCAACCTGCCTCATCTTCTGCAGTTTCTTCATCAATTGACTTTTTTGCTGCTCCTGACCCAATTGCACTACCGGAGAAAAATTCTTCAAAATCTGACATGATGAATACTAATGCTGCTGATCCCTTTGCTATAGTTTCTCTGAACAATTTTGATGGATCTGATATTTTTGGCACATTCACTTCTAAAACTGATTCAGTATCTACAGAGGCCAAGGAGAAACCTAATGGAAGCCATAACAACTTGAATGAAAAGTCTTCAGCCGAGTCTGAGCCTCCACCCAAGAAGGATCCTTTCCAAGTGAAATCTGGAATATGGGCAGATTCTCTGAGCCGTGGACTGATTGATCTTAATATAGCTGCTCGTAAGTTGCTTTTCAAACTAAATAGCTTCCCTTTGTGTAGATCTGTTTGCAAGAGTCTTGAATTGTATTTAACTGCTTCTTCACGTTCTTACATCCAAAATATTGCTTCTAAAAGTATTCTCTTGTGAATTAAACATGTTTAGATTTCTCAAAGTAGGGAACAACCGACATCTGTGTTTACTATTGCAAGAGTTTCTTAGTGCATAAAAACATGGTTTTCCTTAAGTTGTTTTGATTGTCTTATAATTTGAATCCTACTTGCAGCCAATAAGGTATCTCTTGCAGACGTTGGCATCGTAGGCCTGAGTGATGGCTCGGATGAGAGGGAGAAGGTACCCCCAACTTCATTTTACATGGGGAGAGCCATGGGTACCGGGTCCGGTCTTGGTGCATCTGGGTTTACATCATCATCGGGAAATGTAGGAGATGACATGTTCTCAACCATCGGCAGCCAACAATATCAATTTGATAGCTTCAAAAAATAATATTCCTTTATCAATTCTTTTTCATCGTATTGAGTGTTTGGCTCAAAATCTGAAGAGCATTCGAGAATTGGTGTGTCTATATTATTATACATCATAATGATTTGGTGATAAGATAACTTGTCAATAGCTACTAATTATTAATATTATTATTATATTTTGACTTTAACTGTTGAATCTCTTTATATTAATTTACTTATAAAGACAAAAGGGATCACAAAGGAACAAAATTCTCTATAGATAGTGATGCAAGATGATGGTTGTGCTTGTTTTGTGCTAGAGAGAGGCAGCTAGTTGTGCCATTCAGAGTCATGACTCTATCATCACTCAAATTTATGAGCCAAATATGTAATCTTCTAGCCGCCGCGATACAGCCTAATCTTTTCAAATCTTCTTTGGTTGGGCAACAAAAGTAAACAAAGCCAAGTGCTTTAATTTTGTTAGGGTAAATTACACTTTATAGTCTGTACTTTATATTAAATTTCACTTTAATCGTTACACATAAATTTATGATAGTCAACTTCTGCACTTTTGGTCAAATTCCATTTTAGTCTATGCACATGAAATTGTGACAACCAACTCCTTATATTTTGATAAAATCTTAATTTGGTCTCTACAAAAGTATCAATGTCTCCCTTTTTGTTACTCAATTATTTAAATATTTAACAAAATTTAGTCATTTGATTAAAATGTGACTACGATATGAGGGTAAAAAAAAAAAATCATCTACATTTTCTATCAATACACACTTTATTTTAAAATTTACATCAAAATATGACTGTATTAGGCTCAAACAAAACGCAGATTGTGAACAATTAAGAAGATGAATTAGGATTTTACATAAATTAGAATCACAATACTCTATTTTTATGATAACATAGGCTTCTGTCGATTCATCTTTCTTTCTCTTTAATTTCATTGTCGCATTTTTTGCATTTCAAAAGCTCTACTTTCTTGTCTTTTCGTCCCAATTTGTACCATACGAACACACACACACACACACATATATATATATATATATTGTGTATTATATAACTTTCATGTGCTTATCACGTATGACAAAGTGTATTGCTATGAAATATGGATGATTTTCCTCTATGTTCATTTTGTAGTCACATTTTTGTCACATGACTAGATTTTGTTAAAGATTTACAAATAAAGTAACAAATGAGAGACATTGACACTTTTATAGGGATCAAAGTGGGATTTGAGTAAAAGTGAAGAGGGTTAACTGTCATAATTTCATATGTAGGGGCCAAAGTAAAATTTGACCAAAAGTATAAGGGATTGACTATTATGATTTCATATATAAGGATGAAAGTAAAATTTAGTGCAAAGTATAATTTACCCATTTTGTTATCACTTGAGGAAGCCCAAACCATATTTACTATTAAGAATACTTTTCTAACATTTTAAATGAAGGAATAAGGCTATGTTTGGTTTAGATTTGGAATCATAATTTTAGTGTGGAATTGTATTTTGAGTTATGAGTTTCTAAAATGAGTTTTGAAAGAGAAATTTTGTTTGGTTATGAATTTTGAAAAGAGTTTTGAGTTGTATTTTGAAATTTTTTAGATTTATTTTTTAAAATATTTTAAAAAATTCTTAATTTTATTTTTTTAGGGTAAATATTTTTTATTGTAAATATTTATTTATTCTTTTTAATGTGTTCTATATTTACTAAATTTTTATGTTGTATTTTTTAAAATATTTTAAATATTTTATCTTATATTTAAATATTTAAATATTTTTAATTTTTTTTTAAAATTTTAAAAAATTTTAGATCACCCATATATATCTGAATCATAACAAATTATTTGGCCAATAATTAAAAAATAACAAAATATTTTTTTTGAAAAAATAAAAAATAAAAAAATATTTTTCTTCAAAAATAAAAATATAAAAATATTTTTTGAAAAAATATAAAATAAAAAATAATTTTAAAGAACAAAATAAAAATATATTGTTTTGAATTTTTTTTTTAAAAAGTGTTTAGAGCTTGATTATGAGTTTTAAAAAGAGTTTTTGAATTGAGTTTTGAGTTGTGTGTTTAGTTATGAGTTTTAAAACTTTTTGATTCAAATCACGATTCCAAAACAAAACCAAACGCTACCTAAAATAGTGTTTAGAGCTTGATTATGAGTTTTAAAAAGAGTTTTTGAATTGAGTTTTGAGTTGTGTGTTTAGTTATGAGTTTTAAAACTTTTTGATTCAAATCACGATTCCAAAACAAAACCAAACGCTACCTAAGATTTTCTACAATATTTTTGTAAGATTATTACAAGAATGATGGTGTTTGTAGCTTAAAGTATTTACTATTATATTTTAGGCTTAAATTACTCATCTAGACTACCATTGCAATGGTGATTATGATAGAGAATCTTAATTAAAAAAAAATTGGTCTAACATCCCTATCTAACATTGGATAGTAGGAGAGGCCTACAATATTGTTTTATGTTAGTTAAGGTCCCTCATCCGTTTTTGATTTTGTAAAATACCTAATTTACCTTTTCATGTAAGATATGTTAATTTTGATTTGAAAATTGAAAATCTTTTTTGCTATTTTGGTAGAGATTTCGTGGGATTGAGATTAAGGTTTGATTTTTGTTTCTATGTGATTTCATTATTCGTTGTTCTAGTGAAATTGTTCTTTGTTCTTGATTTCAATTTGATTTATGTGTATGGATTCCAATTTCGCATTAGGTTTTCGATCTCAATTTGTGATTTGGAGATCGCATTTTTGTAATTTCGTTGAGAGTTTTGTTTTTGAAGCTTTATTTGAGTTGATTTCTGATCATAGAGTTGATTTTGAGTTGATTTGTAGAAGAGGTGTTTGTTGTTCATTGATTTCAAGTTGATTTGGCCAAAGAAAACCACAAGGGGGAGTGTATGTGGAAGACCATGAAATGTCCTCTCACACGGATGTCGTTGGTGAGATTCAACGAAGACAGCTCCTTGAACCTGCAAGAGACAAATCTGGTTGATGCCACACAACCGGGGTTACCGGCCAGGGACACTCCGATGATGAAGTTAGAATCCATGAATGAAGAATCAAGAATAGTAAAGTGTGTTGTGTGCTGTGTGGAGCAGAAAGAGATCATACCATATGCCATGAGGTGCCTTCTTTTTATAGACGGGGATGGGCCGAATAAGCCCAATAGTTGGGCCCTTAGCAGACCTTGTTTGGGTTAGCCCAATAAGTTGATATATATTTTTTTCTGGCTCCCACAATTGTCCCAAAACTTTCATTGTCTTCGGTAGAAGGAATGAGAGTTTTTATTACCGAGTTATGCTGTTCAAATAGATGTTAGGTCCTTTGACAAAGAATACATTTGATAAATGAATAACATAAATGAATGAATGACTGGATGAATGCATGTATGTATGAATGTATGTACAAATATATGTATATAGAGGAGAGAGGTGACCTAAATCCCAGTGAGTAATACTATCTCTATAACAATGGGCCACAGTATTATAACCCCCGGGTAAGGGTGTAGGCCGTGGTATTATAACCCAGGGCAAGGGTGTAGTATATTGCCGAGTGCAAAGATTGCTTCCAAATATGGACTTTCGTGCCAAGCTAGAAATATTTCTATATGTCGAGCATGGAAATGATTGCCTGAACCAAATAAGACAGATTAAATAGGGTAGATATATCAGCCAAAAGATGGACCACAGTATTATTACCCCCGGGTGAGGATGTAGACCTATGGTATTATAACCCCCGGGTGAGTGTGTAGGCCTGCGGTATTATTACCCTCGGGTGAGGGTGTAGGCCTTTGCTGATGGCGCTCCATGCCGAGTACGAAGATTACGCTGTACTCGAAGACTTATGTTAATTTTAAGTGGCAATATATTGGGCCGACTATTTAATTGCCGAGTTGCTCGATTTGCGTTTAGTCCAAGATAGACTTGCCCCATTGCTTTCGAATGACAGATGTTAGTCGAAAGGAATGCAGATTCCTATTGCCCTATGTTGCAGGGAAGATTCAACTTTGGTACAATGATGGTGCACAAAAAATATGCAAACTGCTGACTGCTAAACGCGAATTGCTAACTGCCAAGTGCTAGCAGCCGACTGCCAAGTGTGTAATGTATTGCCCCAAAACTGGCTCTTACTTAGAGCGGTGTGAAAAGGAGCAGGAGTGTGTAACTCAAGTAAATGTCGTTGTAATGTTTGTACCAAGTTGGCCGAGTATGCATACATATTAAAGGTGTTGAGATGATGATTGGCTGATGTGCTCCAATTGGAAAGCGGAAAATTGATTGATGTCCCAGTGGGCAATTGTTTTTCCAAATAATGTTGTTAGGCGAATAAAGTTGCCGAATACTGTGGCCAATGTTGCTGCATAAAATTTTGACAATGCATAAAGTTGACCAATAATGTTGTTTAGCCGAAGAAAGTTGATGCACTGCCGAATAATGATCATACATAATGTTGAATTAATAATGGTGCCGAATAATCTTGCCGAGTAAAATTGATGCACTGTCGAGTAACTAGTGTCAAAACATTGGTGTTCGTTTCATATATAATGTGATTTTGCCAAAAAGTTGGTCGGCTACACTTGGGTTGGTGATTGTGCCGATCTTTTGGTCGGCAATTTTTCTTCTCTTCGCAGTGTGTCGGCATCCTTTCGGAGTTGGATTTGTTAAGAACTTGGTTGGCAATGGTTGCCAATTTATTGAAGTTGAGTTTCTTGCCCAACGTATATTTGCCCCATTGCTTTTGAATAAGATTTGTTATTCGGAAGGAATAAAATTGACTTGGGCCAAAATTACTGAGTGGGTCGATAACAATTTGAAACGGAGCCCGTGCCCCTATTCGGTGCTGTGGTGATATGCGAAGTGAGCCATTGCGCTCAATTCTTTGAATATTTTTTTTTTTGAATTTGAAAATTTTGTCCGTACGGATGGGCCCGGAATGCATCAAATAGCTAGAAACGAATAACGGATCATTGGAATCGGACCTCTGAGGGCGAAAGTGTAGCCAAAAATAGGTCAGATGACTCAAATTGGTGAAGAATTGAGCTCCGCGAAGCGCTGGATAAGTTCTCAACTTAGCTTGGTGGCTTTGGCAAAAAATAAAAAATATAGAAATATGGTGCCAATAA